ACTTTATGAAGAAATAAATGCTTGTCATTAAAATGTTCTTACTCTAAAGATCACTTTATTGTATTTACTATACTTGAGTTAATTAGATACCATCGTTGACAAATATGTGTTCTAAATTTTTCTAAGTTTTGATTTCTTTAGAACTTTTGTTTATGTTTAAAAATACTCTTGCTGCACTTTTAAAATAGATGTTTGTGTTTTTAAAAATATGGAATGTCTTTATTTCCCTCTGCAATAGAAATATATTTTCTTTCTCTGCAGCTTAAAGTGAGTAGAAAGAATCTTCTTAATGTCTGCAAACTTATATTTAAAATTAGTCGGAGTGAAAAGAATGATTCTTTGATTCAAAATGACAGTATTCTGGGTGAGTATCATTCAGTGCTACCATAGTGCAAATGTTGTACTTGAGTACAAATGAAAAGTTTAGAGAGAAAATTTATAATTAATGATAGCAGGAATATTTTATTTTCTAGTAAAACGCAGAAGTTATGTGATGTTCTGTCCTTCTCTGGGATTTCCACATTCAGTTTAATGCATCCTTTGATAGTTTGCTTTTTTTTATTAAATGCCTATAGTAACATTATGTGACTTTACAAAGTGTCTCCTATTTGAAAATTCATTTCCTGGACTTGGATTTACTATTAGAAAAATGCATTTAATAGTATTTGACATAATTGGAATTTTTAGTCTTTTAATATAGTAGGAATGACTAAAAATTGAAAGACATCCATAACTGTTATAGAAATCTGACATCAAAATATTTCAAATATGGCCGGGCACGGTGGCTCACGCCTGTAATCCTAGCTCTCTGGGAGGCCGAGGCGGACGGATTGTTTGAGCTCAGGAGTTCGAGACCAGCCTGAGCAAGAGTGAGACCCCCGTCTCTACTAAAAATAGAAAGAAATTAATTGGACAACTAAAAATATATAAAGAAATTAGCCGGGCATGGTGGCGCATGCCTGTAGTCCCAGCTACTCAGGAGGCTGAGGCAGGAGGATCGCTTGAGCCCAGGAGTTTGAGGTTGCTGTGAGCTAGGATGACGCTGTGGCACTCTAGCCTGGGCAAAAGAGTGAGACTGTCTCAAAAAAAAAAAAAAAATTTCAAATATGTGGGTGGAGACATTCTAACTATTTAGCTTATAATACCTAATTCTTTTTCCTTAATTTTTTTTTCTCGTGAGCCATTTGGAAAAAACTAATCCTTGACATACCCCTAAATAATTAATATACTTAAATAGTTACCTAAATGGAAATCTTTTTTGCATTAATTTTGCTGATATAAGAGAAGACATGTGTTGGAAAATACTTTAAGTTCTCTTTTTGCAACATAGGATAAATGATCTCTTTATTTTTTTTTTTAACCTCAATAGACAGGGACAAAATCAGTGCTGAAAGAAATGTCTAACATTGAATCAACTAACTAAGAATTATAGACAGAAAACAAAGAAAGATTCTAACAAATGATTACAGTGACATTAATAAAATTAAATGTGAGACATTCATTATTAACCTTATTGGAGTTGCCTGGATTACTCCTAAAACCTAATACTTATATTTAGATGTTCTTAAGTTATCTTGGGAAAGGATGGATGTTATATTCAAATTGTCTTTTTCTATGGTGATCAAGATTTTTTAAAGCTCCTATGTTGGTTAACTTCCCATTAATACAGCAACAAATATATTGTTAAAAGTTTGTTGAAATTTAACTATTAAATTGCTTTAATTATTCTACAGTGACTCAAAAATTTTATAACTAAAAATAAAGGCTGATAAATATTAGTAAGAGGCAAGGAATGGCATTTAATTAAAAGAATACTTTCTCATTTATAGATTAACAATCCCATCCTTTTGCTGACATTGCTATTACAGAGATTTGTCTTGGCTTAAAGTAAGCTTTTCTCTTTATAACATATGAGTTACCTTTACCAAGCATTTGATTATAGGTTTTGATGAACATATTTTACAAATTGTATTTGATGTTCACATACAAGTGCTTTAATATATTTCTCTCCAGGTGTTATATATTTATAATCATCTTTTTTGCAGAATCATTATTGGAAGTACTGAGAAGTGAAGACCTGCAAACTAACACTGAAGCTTTTTTGTACTGTATGGGGACTATAAAATTCATTTCTGGAAATCCAGGATTTCGTAATGAAATAATCAACAAAGGTGCTGTGGACATACTGATGGATTTGATAAAGCAAATAAGTGAGAACACCAAGAAATGTGGTACATGTTCACCTAATTTGGGCCACTTGTTAGTTCAGGTAAGTATTTTACTTGAAAAGGTTAAATATGTAAAATTATTTTTCATGTTACCTAATATCAGTTGCTATTTAAAAGAATGGGTATATGAGAGGCCCCTACAGTCAGGTGAGGGTGCCTGGCCTCAGAGATCAAGGGTGGCCACTGCCCCATCTCTGCCTCATGGGTGCCAGATGCCCATTGGCCTGGACAGGCTATTCCGTGGATTTTCGCAGAGCAGCTGTCCACATGGCATACAGACATTCGTTTCCACTGCTCTACAGAGAAAGCAGGCCTGGAAGAGTAAAAAAATTACAGCTGTTTGCAAAACAATTGCATGTTATCATTGAAATTTTAACAGGCACTTTAGAGTTTTGAAGACAGTCCCAGCCTGAAGATTGTTTATGATGACTGGCAGCTAATGTCATGACTCTTGTATCTACAATGATATTGAGCGGACAGTCATTGAAGGGGGTGTGTAGATAACATGCAGCCCTGAGACTACAGGGACACAGGTAACAAAATTGGATACATTTAATATGACCAGAACAGGAAGACAAATTTTGTTATGTGTTAGAGTTTTATTACTTCTTTAGTGGCAGATTAAATTTCACAGTTAAATTATTTTCACTGGAGCTTCTCCAGCTCTCATATTCTGTTTTTAGATGAGATTTTACTCTTTGATAGTCTTTGTATATCAAATAATAGCATCTTTGATATAATAACTCATGAGATTTGAAATGTGCTTGTCAATTAATGAGGATTTATTGAGCATTCAGAGTACTCTAAGCCATTGGGAAAGTGTGTTAAAAATTAGATTTAGGCTCTGCCTTCAAGATGCTTAAAATATTTATGATGATTATTAATTTTGGACTTTGTGCTCTATCTCCATTTTGAAGAAGGTTGTGAAAACCTCTTTTAGTCATGAATGATACAAAATCCTACTGGTATGCTAGTTTTGGCTAGGAAGACTTAAGAAATATTATTTTCATGGCGCCGATGTTATTGTACCATTCAAATTTTTCTCTCAATGAAAATAGTTATTTCTGATTACAGAATGATTATCTCTCCTGTTACAATGCAGAAAAGTAGAAGGAATATTTCACCTGAAATATTTTCACCTTGAGATAACACACTAACACACCTCCAATACTTTGGTAATCATTCATAAAGACATATAAAATTTTATATAATTTTGGCTTTTATCATGGAACGTGTTATTTTTAATAGTCATTTTCATTTGTTTTCCATCACCCTTGTCCTTCCCTGTTTCTCCTTCTGGTCGATCTAGTTAGTCAATGTTGTTCACACTGGTGTGTTTTGCTCCTTTTAGTACACACATAGGTTTTCAAAAATGGGAAATTTTATGTACATCTCTTTCCTTATTTAACAATACACAGTAAAAATCCCTTGAATCAACTCTATAGATTTATTTTATTTTTATATATAGTTTGTTGTTTGCATCAAGTATTTCACTGTGTGTTTATATATATGTATGTACATGTAATCACTTGGTGTAAAGGAACATTGAACACTGAGTGTTATTATGACCAAAAAATACATCCAGTCGAGAAATGGGACCTCTGGTGTGCCAGTGAGTACAGCATATTACTCCCTGTGTTCCTCTTATCTTTCCTTGCTCCCTGGATTCAGCATCCTCAGGTGCAAACTAACTCACAGGGCAGATGCCCCTCTCCTCTCCCAACATCCGTGCACCCCTCTAGGGGGCGCTGCAGAACTTTCTCCTCACTTCCCACAGCCACTTCACCCCCTCCTGATGACAGTGGGTTCTGTCGTTGTCTCCAAAGCCTTCCTTTGAACCTGCCTAGGATCTGGCATGGGTGGGGCCTCGCTTGGGTCACAGCACCCCACACCCTTGTCCAGCAGAAGAGAGTGGAGTCCATTATCACTTCCACCTGAGAACATGCCATGGTCACCAAATGCCGTTTGCATCAGCCATATCACTGTGTATGTGTTTGCAGATTTGGGGAGGAAGGAGACATTGTTTTAGGCTTTGTCATTTGCAGAATCCCCTGAAAGAACATTTCCTCCTATTTGATTAGAACAAAGAAAAGCTGTTTTGTATTATCTGAATGGTAAAATGTAAGCAACGTTGACTTCACTATAAGAGCAGATGAAAACCTCTGCTCTTGGAAATGGGTAACATTGATTGGTTTTTTTCACCAACCAATTCATGGGCAAATTCAGCCAGACAGATCTGGCCACAAGCTGAATTGTTTATTTATACCAGCTTTCAGAACCTGGTAACTCTAGCTCATGAGGCATTTTTAAAAGAAGCTTTGTTCAGTGGAAAAATAAATAAATTACTTGTGGCTGTAGTAATAATAATATAGTAATGTCTGCAAGCCAGAAAGAATATGACGAGGGCAAAAAAGATACAGGCAGGCGACACTGGATGGTGTGACTGCCTCTCCTTTAAGACTCTCACCCGAGAACCTCAGTAGCCTTAGCTGACCTTCCGTGGACCTCACCTTACAAACCTTTGTATGCTGTAACGTCTGGCACAGTGCTAGAGTCATTCTGTTTCCCTAAAGCAACTCTACTAGAGCCCATTGCAAGAGTGGAAAACACCTTCTGAAGCTGGACTCTGAAGGTTGGGCAGGATTTGGGAAACTGGGACAAAAGGATGCTGAATACTCAAGTGGGAAATAAATAAGGTGTGTGTGGGGATGCTGAAGAGGTAGGGCTGTCCAGAGCAGAGGAATTCCGTGGTGGAGTTGTGGGAGGTGAGATTCGGACGGCACAGGCATGGGGCTTGTCTTGAACACCAGGCTGTGGAGAGTAGACGTGGGGCAACAGGGAGTAGTGGGAGGTCAGTGTGTGGGGATGACGAGATGAGATCGGAGTGGCAGGAAGATGAATGTGTGTAAGATATTGAACTGATAAAGACCAAAAAGCTGCAAAGTGATGGAGGAGAATGTGTCCGTGGTACATGACAAATTGCAGGGCTAGGATTCAGAAATGCAGCCCCGATTGAGAGGCATTGCTGCAATTAGATTTTAGACTGATTATGATGGAGATAAAGGAATGCATGTGAAAGAAAAGCTCCTTCATAGCAGATGGACCAATGCTGCTTAGAGGAAAAAATACTACAGTGTGAGCTTTGTAAGGTTTTCTTTGTGCTGTTTCTTACATATATGTATGTGTATACATACATGTATGCATATATTTTATCATCCTGTGGCTGAAATCAGGAGACATTCATTTCCCAAGTGTTTGTGGGGTGGCTACTGTGTGCCAGGCATGTCTGGGTGGTGAGCTCTTAAGACAGTGGTCAACAAGAGAGCTGCCATTAGGCACCTGCTTTTTGGTGATCCCTATATCCAGGTAATAGTATTTCAATGCCTTATTCTTCTGCAAGACCGTGGTACTTCCACATGGCCAACGTTGCATTCAGTTCTGCAGGTCAGGCATGGAACAGCATTTTGAGAAGGTTGAGATGCTCAGAAGAACTGAGGGGCCACCACCTATGCACCAAGTCAAAGTATTCATACTCCCAGTTGGGCAAAACTGGAGACATGAATTTATCTGTAAAGTCATAGAGTAAAGCAGGTTAAACTGCATGTTCACTAAATTCCAAAATACTAGAATTTAGGGAGAACTCCCTGAAACTTGGAAAAGGAGAAATATAGGCCAGCTAACAGGCAAGGCCTCTAAATGCCAGTAGTAAATTGCATCCCCCAAGGAGGTGCTGGAAACAGGGATTTGTCAGTGTTGATCAAGAATGATCATCAGGAGGTGTTAGGGTTCGTCTTTGACCTTTAAAGGCCAACAATCAGGAAAGCATAACATGAGAGCTCAGGAAAATTCCTGGAGTCACCTCCATCAGAAAGTCTGTTTTGGTCTCCATGTGCCCCTTCCTGGGGAATGGAGAAGAGTCTTCTGTGTCATAATCACAACCAAGTCCGGATTTTCCTGGTGTCTCGTGTGTCCTCTGTGTCTTGAGAACATCATGCACAAAGCTGCTTTGCTGTAATTGAGGAAAATCTCAATGTGCTTACATTTACAGCTAGGTAATTTATAGGTGTATAATGTAACTATTAAAACTCAGATTGACTTGAACTTACATTCCTGTTTTTTGTATTCATTTGTATTTTCAAACTTTTTTTCTTTATAGCCTGACCCATTTGATTTGAATTCAATCCTTGGAGAAATGCATTCTTTCTCTGCTTTAGAGATACTATTTTTGTAGTTAGCACTGTTCTGCACTGCCCCAGGCAACATGGTTTGCTCTCCCCCCACCCCCTTCACCTCTCTGGCCTTCAACCCTGCAGACACCTCCCCAGAGGCTCCTGCAGACCCAAATCCTTTCCCCCTCTGTGCTCAGTACCCCACCAGTGTCACGTTCTTCCTTTTGCTAAATGGAAGTCTCTCGGGAAGGTCAGTCCTTTCCTTCCCCCACTCTGGTCCTTCCCTTTGTTTTTAGAGTTTGGGGAATAGGACAGTGAATTGAACAGAGAGATGACTCAGATAATTTGAGCCTGGATGGTTCAGAAAATAAATGATATCATTAATAAAAATTAGAGATTTATACAAGGGAACTGGATTTGGCGAGAGGAGGGAAGGAAATTGTGTAATTAGCTTCAATATAAAACTTTAAGGTGCCAACAGAATAGCCAAGTGGGCCTGTCAAGTAAGCAATTGGAGCATGAGCCAAGGCTTAGAAGAGAAAGCAAGGCCAAAAATACAGATTTAGGGTTGCCTACGTGAAAGTGATAGTTGAAGTCATGAAAGGCAAAGCCATGACCCAAGGAGAGACTATAGAAAGCACAGAGGGCGCTGAGGACAGATTCTGTAAAATGGCTTCATCTGTGCAACGGGAAGAGAAAAGGAAGTGACCAGAAAATTAAGGACAATGTATGGGAGTAGAAATTTTCCAAGCAAGGATGGATCAGCTTTGGCAAATGCTGCAGAGAACAGACAGGGGAAGAGGAATTCAGCCACTCTGTAAGGAGCAGGGTCAGTAGGCAGGTGGGGTGGGGGCATGTTGCAAGCGATCCAT